TAAAAATCGCCTTTTAGACTTTGATAATCATGACTTGGACTGATTAATAGCCGCACTAGTTGATATCTAAATATTGGCATCAATTATTGGCGAATAGGTTATGGTAATTGTTTCGGTGAGGTGGGTAACCTGTTACCATGGCAACCATACAAAAGTATGCGGCTGCCAAAAAGAAAGAACGAATGGAGCCTCGTCCGTTTTGCATTACGACTCATCAACTTGGTAAGAGGGGTCGTTTTGATCAATTCAAGTATTAGTGTGGAAATTATCATTCAGCCCTTTTGAGCCACTTAATGGCAAGTCTTACCGGTCTAAAAGCCACGAAAACAAGAAGCAAAATCTCAGTCTCGAGGAAAGACGCGTCTCGGATATCAAAGTGAAAGCGCTAAATGTAAATCAGTCGACGATACAAGATACCAGAGATTGGTTATCATGCTCGGAGAAATGCAAGCTTGCTTTTCTATGCTTTTTAATGCGCGCCCATCACGGTAAAGTAACTGTTTTACTTCGTGATATCTTCTCCTTCATTTCACATCACAAAATAATTATTATTTAGGCATTCTTAGTCTACTGTTGGTAGTCATGACATTGAGCTTAGTTTACCTGACTCGTCAAGGCAATCAGCAGTCTTGTTACAACTCGACTTCACAGCGAATCCAGAAAAAGCGCTCATGGTAATTGCAATACTGAATAGATACGTTCAATCCCCCCTTTTCCGGATTTACGTGTAATAGCTGACACACTTGCAGCACGTGTCATGATACATGTAACATAAAAAGAAGAAAACGATCTGGCTGTGCACGCTGTTATTCTCTGCACATAAAAATAAGCAAGTCATCTGTAAAAATGCGCGTGAAGGTTTCTTAATTGCTGACCTCCTAAGCGTTAAACGGAACAAGAAGAACTTTCTTCTCTCCTCTTTTCTTTCTTTTTTTTTATCTCTGTTTTAGCAAAGCGACATAGCGTGACGATCTATTTCTGTTGATAGATGGATGCCAAACATTTATTCGAGTCAGTTAATGATTCAGTTTTCTTTCTGTCTTCTTTTATGACGAGGAACAACATAGACAAAACACCATTTTAGGTCAGTATTCCCCTTCCTTCGTAAAAAAGCCAAAACTTTGGTTATCGTTATAACTAGTACTAACCAAAGGTTAGGGAGCACGAGTGCGGGCGAGTTCGATCGAAGGTCAAACTGACGCTCTCATTCCAACGCTGTGATTTGTGTAAGCTTCATGCGATAGCAGGTCAAGGCGCAGCGTTCAGATTACGAGTGATGGGGTGTTCAAACACGCGTGTTCACATTACGTTCTATGCAATCCATTCATTAGGGAACTTTAGCATCGAGGACGAAATGGGACGACGACGCTGACCGGAAGTGAATTTTTCCCGCGCAAGCATTGTGCGCATGGGTCGTCCAGCTTTCGTTGACGACGAAATTCGGGGAGGTTTGCCGGTCTCGCTAAAACTTAAGTATAAAATTGTGCTTTATGCGTGTAAATAATCCTTTCTCCTCTTGAAATTCAGTAAAAATAGAAATATTATCTTTGTATTAACGAAATCTAAAAGTTTAGCGCTTTGACCATTTCTTCGCTTACTAACTAGAACGTTTAATTCTCTGAGGTTATCAGTTCGACTGAAACTCTAGCTGTCATGGCGGAACAACGAGTCGAAAGGAAATGTAAGCTTTTCTCTGTGACATCAAGGATGCCTTTTGTTCCATGACTGTCTATGCTCATTCGCGCATTTCACTTAGGTTTTTTTTGCTCGCAGGCTATTTTTAATCGCGTTCGTCAGAACGCATCCTAATCTGGTGTTCCTGTGGCACGAAGGCAGAAATTTTGGAGTTGTCACCGGCGACTGCAAATTAGCCGTTCCTGTAAATTTTATCAGGGGCACCTCCGCCGGGAAACTGGACTCCTTTCGACTCGATTTTATTTCCTTAATTTTTCCGTCAGTAACGAACGCGGATCCGTAATCAATGATTACCTCCAGTACTAAAACAAATTTCCATGCTGTTTTCAGCCGCAATTAAGGTCAAGTATTTCCAGTGGACTTCAAATCACGATGTTGTTATGTGTCGGGAAGTGATTGCTAGTGAGCCATCCAATAGACCTTTTTACCGATACGGCGGCCATATTGAATTAATTCGATTTAAGGAGTATTATGGGATGCCCAGGGGGCATGAGCGCATTTTGTTTGTATTTTCGAGCGCTTTTCGGGATATTTTTTTTCTTAAAGTTTTCTTAGAATAAGATTGTAATGGGAAAAAAGATCCTTGTGCCATGTTTTGATGTAATAATGATCGCCTTTTTCTAGTTTAGTATTAGAAATATGGTCTTTCACTGTATATTTCTCGGGAAAAGGGCGATCATTATATACATCAAAACACGGCACAAGGATCTTCTTCCCATTATAATCTTATTCTAAGAAAACTTTGAGAAAAAAAGAAAACTTTAAGAAAAAATATCCCGAAAACCGCTCGAAAATACAAACGAAATGCGCTCATGCCCCCTGGGCATCCCATAATACTCCTTAAATCGAATTAATTCAATATGGCCGCCGTATCGGTAAAAAAGTCTATTTCAAAATAAGCCCTAAGAGATGACAAATATGGCAGACCATCCTGGACCATTATAGCAGCTTTAAATTCCCTTCAGCAGTCGAAATTTAGAGTCACTGCCAGAGCTGTTCCAGATCACTACACACTTTGAACTTCCAAACAAAAACAAAAGTTATGCAAAAGCCTGGATTTTTCAAAGAATAAAGATCGTAAAGAACAATAAGTTCATCATCATCGATTAAACCATCGCCATGGCTTGTGAGAAGCAAATTACGGAGGTCTCTGAGTGCCATAATAAGACTAAAACAGACAAATACAAAAAGTCGTCGTCTGTCAGGGAAGCTGCGCCGCTTAAACTTTGTTCTTCCCGCCGAAAACGAAACCCTTCCTCGGTTGCGAAGCGTCGTCGTCGTCCGTTTCGTTGACGATGCTTAAGGTCTCTATTTTTAGTGGAAGTCTGAACGAATATTGGCTTTATATGTGCTGCGAATGTGTAATAGCAATCTGGAGATTATGCTTGTGGCATCCGCAATTATTTTTTCCCTTGCGGCTGGGCGTCGATATTGATCGTCCCCTACCCTCTTGATTTAATACTCAAACCAGGCTAGACTCTGTACATTTGAAACCAAAATGGCCGCCCGCAAAAATAGGGGACAGTAAGCGGTCTAGGGGCGATTAAGAACAGACTGTTATATAGGGGGTTCGAAAACTGTCAATAAAGCAACAAGGGCTGATAAAAAAAGAATTAGACAGAAAACTTACACATGATCCAGATTCCAAGTGCTAAACAGGACCCTGCTTTCCTTGCTGCCATATGGGTTGATTTTGTGTAACTTGAAGCAGTTTTCCTCATCATAAGGTCCCTCACAGCTAAACCATCCCTTGTCACAGCAGAGACGGAGTTTCTCACTGGCAGATCTAGCAAAGTAGTCTCCATAGTATTGTTTTCTCTTAAGCTCATCTTGAAATTGCTCCAGAGTATTTGAAAGATGTGACTGAGCTTTTCTGCTTGCCTGAAAATATAATTCAAGCGTGTTATAAATAAGAATGGTGTCTTGTTTGTTTGTTTCTCTCTCTTTCAATGAAATACCAAATTATACAATAACTGAAAGACAAAACAGAGCAACAACAAAAACATGAACATATTTTCACCACACTACTAGAGCTTACATGTATTATTCCAGTAACTAGCCAGCTCTAGTTGCAGCATTATTGAACAAAAACACATTCAAGTGCCAGAAGGTTAATTCTTATGACAGCTTTAACCATGTTAAGAAAGAGTACATGTAATTACCATCGATGCTCGTTTTGGCTAAAAATATTAATTAAGCAACCCCCTTCAAATTAGCTCCCCTCTAACATGTCACCTACCTTCATCCTCCTTAAATCAGGATTCATATAAAACATTACAACCATTTTTAAGGACTTTTCAAGGACCACATTTGATTTTCAAGGAACACCTACCAGGAATGTAATTTCACAGTTTGTAAAAAAATGCACATTCCCAGTCCATTCTAACAGGACTTTAAGGCTTGCACTGTTTGCTCCACCAACCTCTACATTTTTCAGTTCACTTGTCTTAAACTGATAGTGACTTCTTAGACGAAACAAAAAAACGCTTTATGCAAATCACCTTTAACTTCTCTGAGCTAAGATTTATACCTGCTGCAGACAACCAAAAAGCATTTTCCAGGCCACTAGATACAAAGTTCAAGAAAGTTTAAGGACATTTCAAGGACTTGCACACAAATTTAAGGACTTTGCAAGGACTCCTCCTAAAATTCAAGGACTTCTCAAGACTGTGCGAGCCCTGTTACTGGAGGGCGGATATGTCATATATGATAAAGCGCAACATTTACAATCATTTTACAGTGACATATTTGACAACATCACACAGTTGTAGGGCTCAAAAAAAATCTTGAATTCCAGCTTGTCCTTCGGGCAAGCCGCTGTCACATTGTGCCTGCTTGCGGCCCCCTTTTGCTCATCTTAGTTAATTATTATTTTGTGAGAGGATGATATGCCTGGATCCTTGCCCAGTGTTCTCCTTATCAGGCAGTAACTGGTAAAATTTACTGCCTGAAGCAACAATATTATATTACGTGCAAAAGTACTAAACTACAAATTATGCATACACAGCTTTCTTTTATGGGCCACACATTTTGGAAAGAGAACATTGAAGACAGTGTAAAATTATAGGAATCCAGTGTTTTAAATTGTTGTATAAAGATGACAAAGGCCAATTTGCGTAAAATAGGTCTTGAAATGAGGGAATGACATTTCAGAGAACTTAGGTCCTAAATTTCCCAGCGAGGGCAGGGCTATGTCCCTCACTCCACTACTTCCCCCCACCCCTTCCCCCCCCCCCCTCCACAGGAAAGTGTGTCCCTGGAGCATTTTTGGCCTTACCAGCCATCAATGGTCCCATACAGGCACATGTACCTGCTGAGCTAAAATTAAGGAGAACACTGTTGCCCATTGGGTAAGTAAAATTTAAAAGTTACTTGCCCAGCAAGAAAATCTAACTAGTTGTCCCAGACTACTGGTTAGGACCGGATTTTTTCGAGCCCTGAGTTGGATGTTAAAGACACTACTTCTCTGATGATACTGCCCTAGGAATTTAGTTACAACAAAATATTGAAGCAAAGAATCAAATAAACCCTCCACACAAATATTTTAGTACAATTATTGCCAAAGGATATGTTCTAGTTTCATTCAATGTTGTAGAACTTTTCATTCGTTTAAAACAAAGACAAGTGTCATCTTGAAGTCAAAATTATAATGAGTAACATAAGAACTCCCCTCCCCTTCAAATAAGTGACCTGCTTCAAAATACAATCCCGCTCTCAAATCAAAAAAATTAAATACACATCATGGGCACTTATTCTAGTATTTAAAGTAAACTCACATGGCTGAATTCTGATAAATACCTAACAGACAGTTGTACAAAATACCTTCTCAAAAGATTCCTTTGCATTAGAAAAATACTTTCTGATTCTGGATTTTGCAGCATCTTGCATTGCATCTTCCTTAGTGTTAAATGACTGCCTTAGCCCATCAAACCAAGTCTCATCTTCACTGCGTTCCTCAGCATCAATGTTATCATCAAGACGATTCACCAGTTCAACCATAACACAGTACATTTCATCAGATTCTGAACCATGAATGAAATCATAAATCTGCTCAATCATTCTATCACGTTGAGACATGGCCTTGAATATCTTCTCTGTTGCTTGCTTAAGCACTGTCACATCTAATAATGAAGCAAACAGATACATCAATTTCATCTTCTTTCAATTTCTTTTTTAATGTTTAAAGTTTCTTTCACAAACTACTGGTAGGTGCAGTGCTGTTACAGTCGATAAAATGAACTTCTTAATAAACTTCTTACATACGTTTGGTGTAAACATTTCAAAAATGTAATAATTTTACCAGTTGATTGGAGCAACTATTGCTCTTAAAAACATGTGAGAAGTAACAAGTCTGCTTTATGCCAAGATCATTTACTTTCAATGGGACAGCATCCAAATCATTTTTATTAATCAGGATGCAAAACTACAGGTGTATCTCTGACTGCATGTAAGAATACCAAAAATCTAATGAATTTGCAGGGATGCTTAATGGTACCTTTAGAAATCAGTTAATGGGTCAATCAAAATTTAAATAGAGTAAGTAATAGTAAGGAAAAAGTAAAGTTCTCTCTCCAAGTTCACAGCCACCCTAACAGCCCCCCAAACCCCCACCACAACAACAAAAATATCCGGGACATTTAGCACACCCATTTACCCAGGAACGACACAAATGTGACGACAGTGGTTGATACTGGGATGGAGAATCTAAAGTCATGCGGGGAAATGGATGGGGGGTACAAATCTGTACCTCATTTTTAGATCATACTCTGAACACTAAGTTGTTACAAGACATTAAGGAAATAGTGTGTTCTTTCGAAGAATTGTAGCCTGCGTAGCAAGCGTTTCCGCGCGAGTTCATTGAGAACGTTGGGACAAGAGCAAAAAAAAGGAATGACGTGGGAGGGGGAGGGGAGAGAAGGAAACGCTTGCCCGCAAACCCCATGATTTTGAAAAACTGCGTTCGCCCACGAACGCAGCTTTTGATTGGTGCGGTACTGGTAGTGTTGATTACTTAGCACTCGAAACATCAATCAAACCAGGTGTGTTTCGTTTACGTGCGTCGTAGATCTGGTCTGATCTTATTTGTGGTCGCAGATTGCAAATGCTTTGGTCTGATATTTGAATCATGTTTGTGCAAAGGTTTATCAAATATGAGTCTCTTCGATCAAAAGTATAATTGGAGATCGAGCAGTGGAGACTAGTGAAGGCCAATTTATTGGCAATGACGGCGTACGTATCTGACTGGAAAAAATGGACTGTTTGTTGGAGATAACATCAACGTAAATCAGAACAGCGGTACTAGACACTAGCTAGAGCCGCCATGGACTAGTGATTGGAAATTGAGCGGCATATGTATTGAAGAGAACTTTTCGACACTGGCTAGCCTATAGAAAGGAACTGCTCTGCAAAACTCATAGCTGGCGGAGTGAATTGTTCTGGACAAATCATTTCTTTGAGACGTTTTGATAAGGTTTCAGATGAGATAAAGCCACATAACGTTCAAAATTTTACTTAACTGTAAAGAACAAAAAATTCCGCAGCAATTGCTTAGAGTTTCAACCTTCTTTTGTCGTAAAGCTTCTTTTTATTTCAGTTTTGCACTCGCGTGGAGCGTGTTTTAGGGAACAAAGTAAATTTTTCAAATCTGGTAATCTATTCGTTATCTATCTTGACAAGCTGTCAATTTACAAACTAGGTATACCTATCAATGGAGTGCCAACGAGCAAATCATGCGTATTTTGCTTAGGAATAAAATTCCTTTTTTTCCCCATTTGACCGTTTCTTGGTCGCTTCCTGTTGCAAGGATTATTTTCTTGAAAAGTTCTCAGATTCAGTATGGTAGCTTTACAAACCTGCTATGTAAAATTGTGAAGTGCCTTGAAAGAATAAAGTCAGCTTTGCAGAGGAAGCAATCGGGAATATTACTAAGTCCAGCTACAAATCTACTGTCGGTTCGGTTTCACATTGTTGATAAATATTTGCACAGTTTAATCATTTAAACCTCCTTTCAAATTTCCCGAGTCTTATTGTTATTGCATTGAAACTTAAAATGATTCGCTGGGCCATCTGAAATGTTTCCAAGGACATGCGATGTACGGCACGTCAGTATTTAATTTTAGTTCATTATTTTTATACTGAACTCGGCCACGTTTTGACAAAAGTGGTGTTGTTTTCTTTTCCTTTGTCGTTTGCTTTAGGCTTGTAATTCGTTTTTGTTCTCATTGTTTTTGTTTGCTTGTTAGATTTTTTCCCCAACACCAGATTTTCCAACAGAAGCGACTGCATTCTTCATGTCAAGCTTTCCTTATCTCCTCGTGTAATCTGATCCTTTTTAGCGGTGAGAATATTGCTTGCTGTACATAGAACACTTTTGCTGTTTTACAAACTTCTCTTCGTTAAAATTTAACATTATGGCCCCTAAAATTAATAGAATATATCAAGTGCTCATGTCTCTTGACTGCGGTGGCCGGGTTTAACGAAAACATTTAGGTAAATAAACACAGGAAGTCGCGACGGCGGGAAGTGTGTGAAATTTTGTTTGTTATTCAACTTGAGCCCGTGTGCCAGGTACTGCCTTTTGATTGGCTCACAACTCACCACTTGGTCTCAGCGGAATCTACATTACATTAGGTTACACTTTTTTCAGCTCGATCGAGAATTTTTCTGCCTATTGCCCTGTCTTGCGCGGCTCTATTCTGCTGCCGCCTCGCCATCCGAGCGTTTTCGCTCGGATGGCTCGTTGGCAATGAACCAAACCGTGAAATATCAAGGGGCATTTTCCAGAATCATGGGGTTTGCGGGCAAGCGTTTCTTCTCTTCTCCCCTACCCCTCCCCCTTCCATGTTTTTTTTTTTTTTGCTCCTGTTCCAACCTTCGCGCTATAACTCGACTGGAAACGCTTGCTACGCAGGCTAGAAGAATTGTGGCTGGAAAAGGATAGACTGCAGAACTTTCTGGCTACATTTAAATATAAATGTCCGGATTTGCTAAGGAATATGATTCTGCAATTTGGACAGTCTGGGGACACGACTTGGCATGTGCATGAGTGCAAAAATAAATCGATTAACTTCGACACTTCATACACCTTCACTGGCATTGACCTCTTCAATTTTTTTACTTACATCCGTGCCATGTCTCATCTGATCGTACAAACACAAAGACAGTCTGCGCAGGAAGAGTTTTAAAATAACTTTCATCATCAACTTCTGTTCCATCCTCGAGGCACACTCTGCAATCGCCGGGAACCGCCAACTTTGTTGAACCTTTATGCTTCAGATCGGTCAAGCTGTTCGCCACAATCCCAACACGCTTCTTCCTGTTTACGTCTTGAACTTTGTAAGCTTTTGCAGAAACCATTTTTCTGCTCTATTTTCAAGATACAATGAACCAAACGCTCATCACTGCATCACATTCAGGAGGGACAACGGCCCGCCACCATTTTCCTTAAGAAACTGCTTATGCGTCATGTATGTTGTACGGAATGTCTCGCGGTGTTCCTGCTAGGCATACATGATGTACAAGATGACAGAGTCTCAATGTTCAGCGTGTAGAAGAAAGGTGGAAGTACTGTTGTGACTGTTTGTTTGTTCCCAACCGATCGTTGCTTCATAAAGGTAAGCATAACATACCAAAAAATGTCTGCCTCACTGAAAAGAAACTGTAGTGGTTCCGTTTATCAATGCCCTGTCGTAGAATATCGGCAGCAAACCTTTGTCAGTTTGTTTGTTGTGAATATTGTCTGTTCTCCACAGTCTCCAGGGCGGACTGTTCTGTTATTATCCTTCCAATGATGAAACATTTATGTGATCGTCAAAATGATAATTTAAAAAATGAGACAGTTTACCAGTGTCAGAACCTGTCTGAAGGAACTGTTTAGGCCCAAAAAATTTCAATATCGGAGAAGAGAAACATTGGTCGTTTGTACCAGATTCTGATTTTAAATACCATGCATCTTTAATTTATCCATAACTTTTCACCGACCCTAAAGATGGTAAACAAACCAAACTACTATTTCCGATGAACATTTGTGAATACCGTATCAAATCTGAAATGTCAGTGGTGAGGCCCTGTTAGAAATTTTATATTCCAACGAACGACATGCCCTTTCAGTTGAAACGACACAACGATCATAGATTTGAGTACTTTCACAGCGCCGAATGCAACGGCAAATACAATAGTAAAATACCGACAGAGACATGGCTGCCTCTCAGTAGACGAAAGAACGGGTTTTGAAATTCAGGCTGGGAACATACGTGACCTCCCCCTCCCCCCAACCCCTCTACAAGTGCTTTATTAAACCAAAGTGTATCCTGCTGGATTAATAACTGCCAAAATTGCGTTTAGTGAGTTTATTCTTATTTAATAAAGAGAAATGGTTATGAAGCTCAACAGGTTTTTTGAACTTGAACATGTACAACATTCAATAGCATTCCTGTCATTTTGAACTTCCTGACCAATAGCATTAATGTATTCAGTCACAATTTGTGAACAAAAACAAAGGATTTTGCACGGTCGGGGAGCTTCCACCGTAAACTGCAGCCTCGTTGTTTTTATCTTTGATGTTTGCCAGCTTTCATAACCAGTCTCCTCCATTAACTATGGTTTATTTGAGTGAGCTTTGATTGGTGTTTCTATTTTTTCAGACAATGGCGTCTGAGGGACTGGAGTGTTCAATCTGTTGCGAACGTTTTGATGAGGAAAAACTCTGCCCACGTTTACTGAGTTGCGGTCACAGCTTCTGCTCAAGCTGCTTGGAGAAGTTGTTTCTAGAGTATGCAATTAACTGCCCCACTTGCAGGAGAGCAGTGTCTGTGCCGGGTGGTGTCACAGGACTCCCAAAGAATTTTGCCCTACTAGACGTCTTACAAGCCACTCCGCAGACGCCAGCAGATGGCAATGGAGATTTTCGCCATTGTGAAGTTTGTGATGATGAGAAGCATCCTGCGACATCCTGTTGTTTGGACTGCAAAGAGGACATGTGCAAGGATGCAGCTCGTTGGCATACGCGACAGAAGGCAACCCGCGGTCACCGTGTTGTTTCCCTAGAGGAACTAAAGACAAACCCAAAACTTGCAGCTGTGTCAGTTTTCTGCCCAGAACATAATGAACAATACCGCTTCTTTGATGAGGAATGCAATCATGTGGTGTGTAGGGACTGCGTTACTCTCAAGCATAATGGTCACAAGTGTTTATCATTAGCTGAAGCTGCTTCGAAATACCGGCAGGAAATGGAAGCAATTGCTACCAAAGCCAGTACCCATGCCAAGGAAATTAAAGCTGCAGAGACTCAAGTGGCAGCTGTAAGTCGGGACCTGAACAAGGCATACGAAGGACAGGCTGTTCAAATTAAAGGTGCCTTCAAAGAGGTAAGCGAACATTTGCCTTTCTGATTTATTCAATTATTTAATCAATCTAGCTTTTGTAAAGTTTCTTCAATTAACGGAGCAAGCAAAAACTGAGTACTTTACACAATCAGAACGTATTCACACTAGTGGTCTATATAGCAAAATTAGAATATACACGGTTTACTTAATAATATGCGAGTTGACCTTTCATATTATGACTAAATGAATAATGGGTAAGCATTGTATATATCTCCCAAAACAAGTTCAAGTGTAACAAATTAACGCCTCCACTTATTTGACTTATTTAGATTCCATAGACTCATAACCTAAGCAGCCGTGAAATTTTCTTGTTTTGCAGCTTTATGCTGCCCTTTCTGCCAGAGAACAAGCTTTGTTAAATGAACTGGATCAGTTACATAAGACCAAAGCATTCACACTAACGGAACAGCGAGACCGTCTACGTATTTTCCAAACCTGCCTAGAGAGTGCCGTCCAGCGTGCTATGTCCACAGTCGAATCAGGCAACACTGAGCTCCTAGTCACGCGTTCTGATATAGTAGAAACGCTAGAGGCGATGGAGAGGCACCCCCTCGTGCTTGAAGCACAAGAAGGTTGTGCATTAGACTTCAATATTAACCTTGAGCAACTGTTGGACTTGCTCAGTAAAGCGGGTATGGTCAGTGATAAGTCTACCTGCGCTACCAACACCTACGGAGAGGGAGCAGGTTTGAAGGTAGCAATACCCGGTAGAGAGGCTTCATTTAATATCACTGCACGCGACACCCAAGGACGTCTCCGAGATCGTGGAGGTGACTTGTTTAAGGTGAAAATTACAGAAAGTATTGGAAACAAGGTCAAGTGTAATGTGAAGGACAACGACGACGGTACTTACATGGCAACCTACACCTGCCCAGCTTATTCAAAGGGTACATATCTAAGGCTTTCGGTGCTTTTACGTGATACCCACATTAAAGGCAGTCCTTTTATTGTCGATGTTATTGATGTTCCAGTGGGTAAAGTAAGCTGTTACTCCTGTGGTAAACGAACAAACACCATGATTTACTACGAAAACAACAGCGAGCCTTCACGGAATGATGCATATCGCGTGAACGGATGTAGTGCTCTTTGTTTTCCCAATTGCGAGATATATTTTCAAATTAATGGAGAAATGTGGATTAAATGTTGGGGCCCTTGTTAAGTAAATTGAAATACGAAGTCGTGCGCCCTGGCAGAGAGGTCGCATGCAATTGCAACTAAACTTGACAAACGTCGACAGTGCTCTTCAAGTCGAATTAAATACTCATTTTTTAAAACTACCCGATGATCCCAAATACAGCTATTTTAGACATCGTCCTTTTGGTGATGAGTATTGAAATCAATGATAGGAATGAAGTTTAACAGCTCAGATAAAGACAGACAAGAGACAAAGCCACCTATTTCTATTTTATATTTCACTTTGAAAGGGTGTGTGGATGAAGAAATTTGCCATATTACTAAAGCCTGCGAGGCAGGCACAAGAAGGGGATGAGGAGGAGGGGAACAAAAACGCAAAACCCTTTCGATACCTAGGTACGAGGCAGACTTATATCATCAAACGTTTCATATGTTGCCTCCTCCACATGCTTTCCCAAGGCTCAGTAGGGAGCGCGGACTTTTAAAGCGGGGTGTTGGAGACGAAGACAAGCGCGAGTGGGGGATGATGGGGACGAGCGTAGAGCTTGATTCACCATTTTCAAGTTGCCCATAATACACCTTGTTTAACCCCCCAAAATTTTGTATAATCATTGTTTCCAATTTCTCCGGGGCATGCTGGTATTACAATTGCTCAAAGACAAAGTAGAGAGCTTTAGATTTGAGGACGAGGACGACTTCTACGAGTACGCGATTGAAGATTTTTCGCGTATTCTGGAAAAACATTAAACCCGGAAAGCTTCATTATACTATTTTTCACCTGAAAAACTAGTCCGGTTATTTTTATTGGAGAAGGTTTAGCCCAATGATTAAACTTACAAAATTTGATTACTTGTTCCCGCCACTATCACATTCTCGCTAAACCTCGTAATAGAATGACGACGGCTATCACGTTTTCCCGCCATAATGACGTTGGTTCACGCAAGAGCACTACTTAGTACTGAGAAACTCTCGTACTCGTAGTCGTCCTCGTCTCGGAATCTAAAGCTCTCTGTTTTTGAAGGTAATGCTTATGCTAAATTTGGGGATAAGCGTGAGCAAGGTGCTATTATTCGCCACTTTCGAAACGAAAAGAAATCTGGGCCGAGTTATTGTTCACAAGGACTTCTGGGACTGTTACTGTGTACATTGAAAAAGTGGCCAATAGCTGACCGGCGCGTCCCCAGTAACGGTCCCAACAACAATTGCGAGATGCATTTCGGCTCCAGTTCCCTTCTCGTTTATTCCCAAACTAAACGATCGCCAGAGACTGGAAACGAGGGAGGTCCATACTCCCGTTTATTTAAAAATTTTCTCCCTCGTCAGTGATCATTAGACTCTATTGGAATATTCTCAAATTTACGTGAGGTTACGTGGCAATTATTAACAACGTTACGGTTATCAATAAATAAGATCACTAAGCAAATTACATGTTAGTCTTATGTGTGGGTTCTAACCTTGTTAAATGTTCTACATATATTTTAAAACCAGTGGAAGATATCGGTGGGTCAATTTATCAAGGTCGTTTACACGCGAGAAAGGATTGAGGGCAATTCGAAAGTTTTAGAGTTATATTCTGCGAATTCACAATCTTTTGACCAGACAAAATACTCGTCATAATTATGTAGGTACTAGAAGGGTCAAACAGCAACATTTACTAATTTTTCACCGCAAGAATAAGATTAAAAACAGTCTTCCTTCTGTTGCGCCTAAGCAGAGCCTATGCTGCTTCAGTTTGCCTTGACACTTGCGAAAGACTTCCAATTCTCTGCAGTTATCAAGAACAACGGCCAATGCATTAGGTTTGTCGCCACTTCCTTCTTTATGCACATGTCATCGGTTTCTCCCCTAGGGTAGGACCCCGGAACAACTAGGGGGGTTGCAAAATGGGCGGTGCAAAGTTGACCTTTTCCCCCAGGGATGGGGATATAATTGGTGTAATTTGTTGCGCAAGACTGTTAAAAAAGACCACAAAAGCACCCTTGAAATGAATTTGGCTATAAAGCCGCGAGGAGAATTGGGAAATTTCCTCGTCGCTGATCCCGCCAGCTGCGAATAAATCCTTGTGGAGTGTGTGTTTTCCTGTGCCAACACACCGCCTTCTCATTGCATTTTATTATTATTATTATTATTATTATTATTATTATTATTATTATTATTATTATTATTTTCATTCAAGACATTTATTTACTCTAAATACAAAGAACTAATTAAAAAGAAACTAATTACAAAACTCTAAACAACCGCAATAACAGACATACTTACAATTATATACATTTACTTTACAGCCAAAAAACAGCCGCGCAGTTGCTGAATGTGGCTTATTTTACAAAGAGTTAATTAATACTTAATAATGTAGGTAAAAGATAAATTAACACTTATTTACAGTACACTCTAAAATAAAAAAAGAAACAAAACAAAAAAAAAACAGAAAAAAAATACAATACAGAAAAAAAGTATCTCATAAAAGATTACTATTTCAATTACATGCACACGAGAAGAAATGGGGAGAAATGTCTTTTGGCCATTTTTCATAAAAGGTTTCTAACTGTATTATTCTCAGAACGTGGAAATACATTTTTCAACTTGGTATTTAATTCTTACTTTAAATTTGAAACCTTCGATGTTTCTTTCCACAATCCCATAAATATAGTTTACCAATTAATATCAGATAACTTAACAAGGGGCATTTTTTGACACGGCGTTATACAATTTTGATTGTGCTAGTGTATTCAGGGGCACCCAACGAGGATATAGTTCAAAACCAGTTAACATAGCATTGTTGAACGTATTGTAGTCTTTAAACGGTAGATATAGGCATATTTTTATCCCCTAAAAACTTTTCATCTGTTCGGATCTCCTAGCTGAAAGTCTAGTGATCCGAAAATTATAGGGATCAAAACTTACCTTTTCGAAAATTTCAGCCAGAAAAAGGCTCCCGAAAATTCTAGGTGGCCTTTTTTAGGGTAAAAATCCGTTAAAAATAGGTAATTATACCATTTTGTAGAGGTTCGAAAATCCTAGGAGAGGCAGGCAAGCAAGTAATTTTACAACAAATGTTCCGAAAATCCTAGATCTCAAATCGTCTTCCGAACAGATATTTTCCGAAAATTGCCGTTGGGTGCCCCTGTGTATTGCCAGTCCCAAGAGAGACATGTTCAAGCCTCTATTTATAGAAATTCTGCGGCTCGAAAAGGCGTATTTCACCTTCCCGATATTTATTGCCGTCTGCGACTTAACATAATTTTGAAGTTTCCCTCCACTTTTCTTCGAACTTAAAACAGTGTCGTGAATTTTCCCCTTCTTATGGTCAGAGAATTCAGTTCATCACTTTATTTTTCTTGTTGACCACGGGTTTTACTGACATGTGCTCTATGATAGACGCAGGCGTCGTTATTGGCAACTACACCGCTGTCACAGTGATATGGGCATCCCCATTCCCATAGCCTGCGAGCAAGCTCTCCTGTTTGGGTAAGCGAAGTGAGCCTCGCGCGTTCTCGCGAGACTCGCTTCACTCGCCCAAATAGGAGAGCTTGCTCGCAGGCTACCATTCCCATATCCCTAGCGTTTTGGGCATCTCCGGATGCCCAAAACGCTGATCGCCCTGATCGCCCATCCTTGATTTGGGGGGAGGGGGGGTCTAGGTTTTCCATTTATTTTGTCCAAGATTGTAGGACGGACCATCAGAGGTAACAGAGATAACAGGAGGTGGGGTGACAATTCCCCCCAAAAAGATGCAATTATGCCTCACCCTTTCAAAGACACTGAAAACAGATGAAATTTAGTGATTGTTTTTTATTATCAACGCGGGAATTTGAAAAACCACGATCAAGAGGGTGCATTGGCAAATGAATAAAATTTGTAACTAACTGGCATTTCCATCGTGTCCTTGTAGTAGTCAGGCCAGTAAAACCGCTCTTCGATTTTCCTAAGAGTAGCAGAGTGGCACTCTTTGAAGACTCTCGCTTTCTCTTCCTCGGTGATAACCAGTCGAAGCTCTGTGTCATCCTTCTCTTTGGCCACGTAGAAGATCGTAGAACAAGGACTCTAATTTTGAGTCATACACAAACTTTTTGGCAAATTTTCGCAGAGTCGTTTTGTCTTGCTTTGTAAAGCCTTCCAGATAAACCTTCTTTTTGAGATAATGGAAAAGATTTCTATATTTAGCGGAATCCACCTCTAAAACGTTTTCGATTTTCCCGCGAAATCCAGAATTTTCTTGGAGGGGGCCTTGGAGGGGATGACCAAAACACTAGGGATTTGGGCATCCCCGGGGGGTGCCGGGGGATGCCCAAAACGCTGCAGTAATATGAGAAGGGGATGCCCAAAACGCTGTGGACACCGCCCTTTGAAGCTCTGGAGCCTGGGAACGACATTGGCGTAAATGACGTACTGAGACGACCGACTGTTTCCTTTTGCTTCAGTAATGAAACCTGAAAACGGAAGTACTGTTGGGATTTTTTGTCTATTTCCTGTGATCATTGCTCCATAAAGGTAAGTAAAAATATGCCAAAAAACCCTACGTTGCTAAAAAGAAACTATATTGCTTGGATTTATCAATTCCTTGTCACCGAGTATTGGCTATTAGTTTAACGTGTGTGCCATCATGCGCGCATCTCGTCCTCTAGAGACATATGTTTCATCTTTATAAAGATGAAACATTCAAGTATGTATTCGTGACTGTGATGACAACTTTTAAAGAAACAATTGAATACATAGATTTAACCAGGGCTAAAAGCGAAGCTTCCGTTTATTTACTTCTAATAATAAAAGCAAAAATTATTTTAAACTTATTAACTTAAAGCCATAAAAAAGAAAGTCAAAGAAATACAGTCAAATCTCTTTAATACGGACACCAAAGGGACAGAACCAAGTGTCCGCTTTACAGAGGTGTCCGTATTATAGAGGTAGGGAATGTATGATTTTTGGTATTTCTGGGACCAAACGAACTGTCCGTAATAGAGAGGTGTCCGTAAGGAGAGGTTAGACTGTATTCAAATCTCTACTTGGCATTGTGGCTGCATAATC